GGGGGGGGGGTGAGCCGCTCCGCTCGCTGCCCCGGGGCCCACTAGCCTCTGCCCTGAAAGGCCCCGACCGCAGGCCGCGGGCTCCCCAGCTCTGCCCCGAACAGCCGGACTTTGGTCCCCGCCTCCCAGCCCTCGCCGGGCACCGCGGGAGGACCTGGCCCAGGAGCCTGGTGCCCGGCGGCTTCCCGCTCTGCTCAGCTACAGTTAACACAGGCAGAGGGGACTTCACCTCTGGGCCTATGGTCTGGCTCTGGGGGACAAGCAGCAGAGTCCTGGCCCGGTGCCTTACCTGGGATACTGTGTCTGACCCCGAGGCCGAGTGCGTGTGCTCCCGAGGATTCCAGCAGGGAATCCTGGGGACCGTAAGCCCCCCTGCAAGCCCCCCAGACAGACGGCTTGGAGCCAGGCGTACCTGCATCCGGGTCTCTGGCGGCCCCGCCAAGGGGGTACAGTTGCTGCAGGTGCGAAACGAGGACCAGCGTCCCCTGATCTGCAGGGGAGGTGGGGAGAGGGCCCAGGAGCCGTTTCCAGAAATGTTCCTGTCCGCCCCCCCCCCCCCCCCGCCCCCGGCCCTCCTCTGGGTCTCTGTGCAGACCCCAGGGAGGGGGCAGGCCAGACAATGAGCCCTGTGTTCCTTTCCCTCCCTCCACCCCTCTCCCCTCCTCTCCTTCCCAGCCCCTGGCTCCTGTCCCTCCGCCCACCCCATGCCCCGACTGCCCTAAAAGTCAGAGTTCCTGCCGCCCCACCCGAGTGAGAGCAGGGGCTGTGTGGGAAGTGGCGGGGTGGGGGGCAGGCTGCTACGCCCCTGGGCCTGTAAGTGGAGGTGAGGCTGGGGCTCCCCAGGGAGGGTGGGTGCCCCAGGTCACCCCAGGAAGGCCAGAGTCCCAGGTTACCCCAAGAAAGCTGGTGCCGGGTCACCCCAGGAAGGCCGGGGCCTCAGGTCACCGGGAGACCTCAGGTGCCCGAGCCCAGCGCTGGAAGGGCCAGGCCGGAGCTTCCCCGGGAGGGCTCACCCCGCTGGAGCGGTGCCCTAGGGCCGGGCAGGCACCGGAGCTCACTGTGGAGAGGACGCCCCTGACCAGGACCCCTTGCGGTGTGGAGCCTGTGAGCGGCCGGCTGACGGCCCCTGACCCGCGGCTCTCAGCCTCTAGCCTCCACCCCCCAGCCTCCCCGAAGCGGGAGAGGGAGGATGCCAGGAGGGCCAGGCCCGGGTTTCCTCCTGCTGTTACCCAGCCCACTCCCACCCCTGGACCCCAGGCTCTGAAGGCCACCCTCGGGGCTCAGCTGACAGTCGGGTGTTAATTTGGTGACACTCTGTAGAGGCCTCCCCGGCCCTACAAAGTCTAGTTTCTGCCAGTGGGGGGCTAGAGGGCACACAAGGCCTTGCTCTGTGCCCCGCCCCACCCTCCGGCCACCCCAGAAGCCCCCTTGGGCTGGGCGAAGGGTGTCAAGCCTGCCTCTGGAAGCCGCCCCTAGTGGTGAGGGGTCCCCCGTGGGCCTGAGGCGCCCCTCGCCCAACAACAGGGACCCAAAACCATCAGCCCCATACATGCAGGGGGCACCTACCTGAACTGCAGTCAGCACCCATCCGGGCCTCTAAAATGGGGCCTCCCTCTTAAAATGGGGTGCTGGTGCCTTCCTGCATGGGGCACGTGGGTCCCCCAGCTTGATTCAGGCTAGGTTCCGGGGAGCTGTGTGCCCAGAGCCCCAGAGCTGGCTGGGGAGGCGCCTAAGGTCACACAGCAAGCGGCCGGAAGCCCTCCCCGGGGGTCCTGCAGCACTGGCCTCTCCCACAGGCCCTGTCCCAGAGGTGAGCGCCGCCCGCCTCCCGCCCCGTGACTCAGCACCCTCGCCGGGCACCACAGGACTTTTGCCCCCTGCGCACCGTGCCGGCCTCCTGCCCCGATCCGTCCAGGCTCTCCCGCCGCACCTGCCCAGGATGCAGGGAGCCGGAGCCCCCAGGCGCCGGGGCCCCTACTCCAGGGAGATAGGCGCTCTGGGCCGTCCCGGGGTCATACTACTCACCTATGCGCTGGTGACCCTGGGGCTCACCTGCCTCTTCATGCGGTTTGCCATCATGCCGGTGAGTGCCCGCCCTCAGCAGCCTGGCCACCAGCACGGCCGCACTGTCCCCCTCGGCTTCCATCTGTGCAACAGCGGGGCCCCGGGGGTGGGGCCCGTGCTGCCCGAGCCACCCACCACACGGAGCTGAACAGGTTGAGGGACCCGGGGACCGTGCTTCCCGGTCCGCCTGTGGGCACTTCCTGTGCCCTGGTGCACAGCCAGCCCTGCCCCGTGGCAGTGCCCCTCCCCCCCGGCCGGCCTGGCTCCGGCCCCATTGCCCTATGGATCCACCCGCCGGGACACCTGCTAGGCTCCCGTCCTTCCTGTGCTCGGGCCTCTGCTCAGGCCTTCTCCGCAGCGAGCCTCCCCTCCCAACCCCTGCCCGGACCCTCTGTCCAGGTCCTGCTTGGCCAGCCTTCCTGCTCGATGTCCGCACCCCACATCCTGCCGCATGTCTCCCCGACCGACCGGGACCGAGAGGGCGGGGCTTGACGCATCACCTCCTCTGCTGCCCCCACCCCCCGGCCTGGAGCGCTGCCTGGAGCGGTTGGTTAAGCGCCTTGGTCAGCACTCGGGGCCCGCCCGCCCACTTTTCATTGATCCTACCTTTGCACCCTTGCTTATTCATTCAACAGACCCGTGTGGGGCTGGCCGGGCTCCCACCCTCTCAGGGCAGCAGCACCCGGGGGGGGGGGGGGCTTGAAACGTCCCAGCGCCCCTTCTCTGTCTGGTCTGGGTGGGACCATGGCACAGCCACCAAAGCCCCCCAAGGGATTCCCGTGAGCGGACTTGTGCCTGGGGATCTGGCTGGGAGGGGGCCGCTGTGGGCACGGCAGGAGCCCCCAGCCAGGTGGCGAACCCTAACCCCTGCCCCAAAGCCCATTTCACTTCTACCAGACAGCCCGGTCCAAGCCCTGACTCCCTTCCTTAGCGGCCAGGTGGCCGGGGCGGACGCCTTGAGGTCCCATCATGAAACGGGTCACGATGTCCCTCCCTGGAAGGGTTGGTGCAGAGAGCGACGAGAGAACAGTTAAAGGCACAGAGCAAGGGTGGCTCTCCCGTGGATGTTGTATGTATCGTTCAACAAATGCCCATCGAGCACCTACTGGGTGCACCCTGTTCTCAGAACTTCAAATAGAGCAGGCAGGGACTAAACCATCCTTAGGCTGTGCTGTGCGTAAGATCATGAGGCGTGCGGGGGGTGCTGGGGCTGCCCACAGACGTGTGGGGGCTTTGGGATCAGGAAAGCCTTCCTGAGAAGGCGGGCTTAAAGGAAACAAAGAGCAAGCCTGGCTAGTTAGTGCAAAGGCCCTGGGGCAGTAGTGAGAACAGTGCAGCTAGAGAGGAGTGAGTGGAGGGGAGAAGGAGGGAAGGCCAGAGAGAGAGGCTGCCAGGACTCCAGGAGGATGCTGGCCGCGGGGAAGGCCCCGCTGCCCTCAAGGTCTGTGAAGGGGGAGCCCAGGAGCCGCCGATGTATTGAATGTGGCTGTGCAACGGTTCATGATTTCGAGCCCCGCATCAGGCTCTGTGCTGACAGCGTGGAGCCTGCTGGGGATTCTCCGTCTCCCTCGCTCTCTGCCCCTCCCCCACTTTCTCTCTCTCAAAAATAAATAAACATTTAAAAAAAAAAAAAAAGAATGTGGCTGTGCAAGAAAAGAGGGGTTCAGGGAAGACACCAGGGTTTGGACCTGAACCCTTGCCGGGGTGGGGGGGGGGGGTGTCAGCAAGGGAGCAGAGGGGCCGGTCCTGGGGGGAGGCCATGGGGAGTCCGTTCTGGATGTGCTGCATTCCAGATGCTTCTGGACATCGAGTGGAGAGCCGGGGGCAGTTCAGGCGAGAGGTCCCCGGACAGCAGCCGTCCTGGGGACCGAGCGAGGCTCCCTGGAGTGACAGGCGCAGAGCAGCAGGAAGGCTCAGGCAGGAGGGCGAGCGCCTCCAGGGCTCTGGAGAGACACTGGTCGCTGCCTTTGCCTCCCCAGGTGGGCATGGCTCCAGAGGGGCCAGGAGAGGCTGGAACCCACAAAGAGGAGGCCTGTGTCGTTCGGGGAAGATACTGCAGTCCACGGGGCAGCTTTGAGCGAACGAGGCTAAACCGGTGGGGGCTGGGGGCCCCCCCACCTGTTTGAGGTGCGCCCCGCAGAGGGGAAGGAGGGCCAGCCGCTGCCTGTTGGAGCCTGGCCCCAGAGGCCCCGTGGTCTCCTCGCTGTGGGAGACGCAGCTGAGTCCCAGGCCCCAGGCCCCTCCCAGACCCACCGCAGACTGGTCAGAGCAGCTCCTTCCCGCCCAGCCCGGGGCCACCTCTCCCCCTCCTCACCCTCCGGGGACCCTGGATCCAGACCCTGACCCTTCCCGTGGGCCCCCCTGTGTCTGCAGTACCTGACCCGGAGGCTGGGCCTGGACTCCGTCGCCTTCGGCCACCTGCAGACCACCTTTGGCGCGCTTCAGCTGCTGGGCGGGCCCGTGTTGGGCAGGTACCGTGGGGCAGGGAGTCTGGGGGCCCTCCCCCCAACGATGACCCGGGCCTGCCCCTCGGAGGTCAGGGGCTGGGTCGTGCCAGCCTCTCAGACCGACACTGGGCACAATAGTCCCTTTCATGCCGGGGACCCCTGCTCCCTGGGTCCCTGCCCGCCTCTTCCACGAATTCTGGTTTGTGGCCAAAGAGGGGATTGTCCTGGCAAGGCTGTCGTGGCTGGAAACGTCCAGCATTGCCGAGCTGGGGGTCCCACCAGCGACGCCCCTGGACCCCCACTCCTCCACCGGCCTCAGCGCTGCTGGGGCGTTGGGCTCAGGGACATGAGGGCAGACGTCATCCTCCCGCAAACCCTGGGGTGGAGATCCACGTGGCAGGCGTCAGATCTTCGGGGGAACTGTCCAGAAAAGGGGCTCCAGAGGCGGTCAAGTCGGACCGAGCAGGGCTCCCCAGGGTTTCGCGGCCCTGCTCGGAGGCCGGGTGGAGACAGGGCAGGAGCCTGGAGACGCTTTCTGCACAACACACACGCACCTTGCTCCCTTTGGAGCCCGCAAGGTGTTCTCAGAGGGAGCAGGAGGGCCCTGCTGGGCCAGACACCCCCAGGTCGCAGGAAGCTGACCCACTGGAAGGATGGCGACACTGAGGCTCCGAGACGACACCCCTGCGGCCTAGCTCCTCGGCAGCCCCGGGGGGGCGGGCGTCAGGGGCAGAGCTGGCAGGGCCTGCTTGGTATCTGTGAGGATCACAGGTTCGGTTCCCCCAGGTTCGCCGACCGGCGCGGGGCCCGCGCCGCGTTCACGCTCACCTTCCTGGCGTCCTCTGCCTTCTATCTGCTCCTGGCGGCCGCCTGCAGCCCGGCCCTGCCCGGCGTGGCCTTGCTCTACGCCACGCCCTTGCCTGTCGCGTTCATGCAGGGGATGCCAGGTAGGGCCACAGGCGGGGGCCCGCTGGGGCTGCGGGAGGACTGCGGGTGGGGGTGGGGCTGAGGTCACGACCTGAGGGAGGTGCGGGGCGCGGGTCTCCTCTGGGTACCAGTCTAGGCCAGGGAGCAGGACCGAGGTGGGGGGGGGGGGTGACATGGGGACGTGGCCTGGGGGGCAGGTGGCTGAGGGTGGGGGGCGTGGCCTGTGCAGGCGCGGCGTAGGTCCTGGGGGATGTGGACGAGGCGGCCTTGCGCGGGACACCCTCAGGGTGCGGCGTGGGGCGCGGTCCGGGCCTAGGCCGCTCGGGGCTCCGCGAGGGGGCCTCACGGCTCAGTCCCCGCCCCGCACTCAGTCGCGCAGATGACCATCGCGGACCTGTCTGAGCCCCAGGAGCTGCCCGCGGCCCTGGGCCGCCTCGGCCTGTGTTTCGGGGTCGGCATGATCTTTGGCTCACTGCTCGGCGGGACCCTGAGCGCCACGTGCGGGTGAGAGGCCGAGGCTGGAACCGGGCCGGGAGGTGGGGGGGCGGGCCAGGAAGCGGGGTGCGGGTGCTGGTCGGGATGGCCGAGACTGGGTGGGCCCAGGCCGACCACCTCGCTGGGCCTCGGTTTCTCCGTCTGCACGTTGAACGTCTTGGGTCCGGTGTGGGACGGTCAGCAGGGACCCACGCGGTGGGCGGGGCTGGAGGGGGCGTGGCTAGTGAGCGGGCGGGGCCGGAGGGGGCGCGGCGAGCGGGTGGGCGGGGCTGGCAGGATGATGGACAGGGCAGGGACGGGAGCCGACCCAAGCAGGTGGCGCGGCCCGTGCAGTCCCGCAAGGTGCGCTCCAGGGCGGCACGGAGGGCACCAGGAGGTCCCAGGCTAGGGGGACGCACGCGGCTGGCCCGGGTCACATGAAAACCTGAAGAAATTGGACGGCAGGCCCTGGAGGCGGGGTCCCCGGACGACCAGCGGGCATCCTGCGATGGGGGTGCTGCGGGCAGGAGGACTCGAGGGCAGCCTGTGGGCGGTTCCGTAACTGCACAGAGCCGTCTGCACCAGCAGTCCTTGGAGTGCCCCCTGGGAGAAGAGAGGAACCTTGAACCCGGGACACCGAGCCCTGGACAGGCCCTGCCGGGCGTGGGCGGGGAATCTCACTTCCGCTGCCCCACCCCCATTCCTCCTCCCTCTCCCCAGCAGCCCCAACACCCACTCAAAATGGGCTTCTTTCATAGGAGTGGACCTTGCTCCTTGCCTTCCTTCGACTCAAGTCTTTGCTTTTGGTCTGGAATGTGGGTGCCCAGCTGTGGATGGGAGGCCCTGTGCCAGCTGGGGACCCACCCGTGCGGGCCTTAGGGAGTTGCCCTGGGGCCCTATTCAGGACAGGAACCTTGCTGGTCTCTGAAGTCACACACACACACACAGAAGAACACACACAGGCACCTCTGTTGACAGCCCTCCTTCTGATCTCGGATGAGCCTGTGCTGGCCCCTGGGCCTCTGGGGGCATTGGTCTCCCCAGGCTCCCCCAGTGCCCCCAGACAGCCCCCAACAGTGGTAGATGCAGCGGGTGATGGCTGATCCGCAGGGACGGGGGAAGGGGAGGGTCCCGTGACCGGCTCCACCAGCTCCCCACCCCAGGATTTTCATCAGAGTCTGGGGTGCAGATGTCTGTCTCCACGGAGCACCTCAGCCAGGAGGCTGCGGGGGGGGAGGGGGGGGAAGCAGAATTCCTTTCATCTGCTTCCTCACCGGGATTTATTGAGCAGCTACTAGGTGCCCTGGGATTCCAGGTTCTGGGATACCGTGGTGGCTAGGACAGGCCGGGTCCTCGGATGAAATGAAAATGATACGTGTTTCTAAAGTGTCGGGGTGAACTGCCTGGTGTGAGAAGTAATGCAGCGCGATCGGGGGCCAGACAGACGGGTGGTCACCAGGGTGTCACCTGCAGGAGGTGAGGGGGGCGGCAGGACGACCGGGGAGGCCGGCGTGGATGGAGTGGGGAGCAGGGAGGGCAGGGAGCCGAGGTGGGCAGGAGGCGGGGTCTGCCTCGGATTTGCTGATGGCTGGGATGTAGGCGTGAACCCTGGACGCTGGGGCCGGCCTTGGGGGGAGCCGTGAACCTTGCTGAGGTCTGAGCCATCCGCCATGCCCGTGGCAGTTGGGTCTCCGTTGGGCTGGGTCTGGTGCCCATTAGGCCCTCCAGGCAGCTATGGATCGGGCAGCTGAGTGAGGGGACCTATAGTGAGCAGAGCAGGGCTGTGTCCTCAGGCGGGTGGTTTTTAAGCCCCAGGAACGGGTTCAGGTTGAGCCCCAAGCCCCGAGCCCCAACCTGGCACTTCGCGTTAGAAGCGGGGTCGAGGAGGAGGTACAGTGAGGGCGAGAAGGGAGGGAGATCCAGGAGAACATCCGGAAGCCGAGAGGTGTGCAGGTCAAGGAGGGGAGGACCCTCGGCGCTCCGAGGGGCGGCAGTGACCATGGGTTCTGCCTGCACATGAGCCGCTGGGGCTGATGGGAGCCTCAGTCGCTAGACCAGGAGCGAGAGGAGGGAGGAGAGCCTCTGCGCTCCCGGGGAGAAAAGGAAGAGGGTCGGGAGGGTGTACGGGCGGGGTGGGGGCGGGGCAACGCCAGGGTGTGAAGAGTGTGCGGGAGAGGGAGAGGCAGGGCCGGGAGGAGCCCCGCCCCCACGCTGCCCCACCTACCTGGACTCACAGCCAGGCGCCTGTTACCGTGGTCACCTTGACAGGTGCTCTCACCCGTGAAATGGGCCTGCGACTGTGCCCATGCCTAGGACCACCCCCCAGCCCTCCCCCCACGCCCCCTCTTGTCCCCCCCAACCCCCGCCACGTCCCCTCTCGTCGTCACCTTCCTTTTTTCCGTCCCAGCTGCTGACCCAGGAGACACCACTCACTGTCCTCCCCCCTGGGCCTCCCCCAAGATTGCCTGCGCCCCTGCCCTCGTGTTCCGGAAATATCCATTCAACTCCGTGCCTTCTTTCATCCCGAGATCGAAGGTGCTTTATAACCCTATATGCATCCTTTGATGGGAACACGGAGGCCCCGGAGAGCGCGAGCCTCCCCATCCAAGGCTCGGGGGAGGCGGGCTCCTGGACCCCGAAGCCCCATGGCGAGGGCCACATCCCGCCTTCCTTGTGAGGGCTCCCTGGCTGCCATCTTCCTGCCTCCCGTGCCCCGGTGACCCCTCCCCCAAAAAGCATCAGCCGTGTCCCCCACCTCCGGGAGCAGGTGAGGGGAGAGGAAGTGCCCTTGGCAGCCTGCGGGTGTGGGGCAGGCACCAGTAGAACTGGTTTCAGCTCAGCCTGGAGCTCTCCTACCCAGGGCCCAGGCCCTGAGTCACTTAGCAGGTGGGGGCCGCTCGGTGACTCATGGCCCTGAGCCCAGCGCCTCACAGCCTGGGGAGGCCTCTATCACGCCCTTCCCACAAGTGCGCCCTGGGCCTCAGCGGTAGGCAGCACCAGCCTTCGGAGCCCAGCTGAGTCAGGTCCCGGGGGGGTGGGGTCCGGGGGTCCCCGTCGAACGTCGAGCCAGCCCCTAGGCCTGATGGCTGGAGTCAGCGTGGACAGGCTTCCCCCGCTGAGTGCGAGGCTTGGGCTCCGTCCCCCGGAAGGGGTCGGGATTTGGACAGATGCCCCCGAGGGTAGCAATTCCTTTCGTCTGGGGGGGATTTGGGCCCGGCTGGGGGCTGGGTCAGGCAAACTGACATGGTGCCAATGGTGTCACCGTCACTGGCGGCCCTCCTGGGCGCTAACGCAGGAGAGGGGCCCCGCTCTGGCCCCAGGGCGAGCTTTGCCCGGGGGCGCTCGGCGACTCGGAGGGGATTTATTATACTCCTTATCTGCAGCCCTGAAGACTGGGGACTCCGTCTCAGCCTTTGTTGTGGCCGGGGAAGAGGAAGCCCTCATCCTGCTGACAAGAGGGTTTCTGCCCGGGTGACACGGCCGCTTCCCCTGGAAGTTAATGAGTAAACACACTGGGACAGGAGTGACTCATGGGTCGGCCAGGCGGCCTGCCCCACTCGGCGCTCACGATGGCTCATTGAGGCCGTGCGGGGCCAGCCGGGTGTGCGGCCTCCCCACCGCAGGGGTACACAGAGACCTGACCCAGAGACCCTGGGTTTTCCGGGCAGTGGGAAGTACACACAGCACAGGGCCCACCTGGCCAAGAGCGAGCTCAGCTTAGACCCGAGAAGTGAGAGAGAAGGCAGCTACTGAAGGTGGGGCTGGCACAGACAGTGTTCCAGGCAGAGGAGGAGCCTGTGCAAAGGCCCTGGGGCAGGAAAAGGCCTGGGGCTTGTTCGGAGGCCTGTGTGGGTGGGACTGGAGGGATCAGGTGCTCTGGGAACACAGAGGGCTGCAAAGTGTTAGACCAGACAAGGCTTTTAGGCCTTTTTTCTGGGACCCAGAAGCCAGAGGGAGGCTGAATCAGGAGTGGCCCCACAAAGACTCCCGTTTTCAGGCATTGTTCTTGCCACGACATCATGGGATGTGGATGGGGCAGGGCAGGGGGACTTCACCCCAAGCCCCAGGCTGGACGTCCAGTGACTCTCTGGAGACCCTCACAGCCAAGCGTCACATGAGGCTGGGCCCCAGCTGACCCCAGCCTGCCGTCCGGGTTGGATAGGAGAGGGCGGTGCCACCCGGGAGGCCCTGCGTCCCCTGGGCCAGGGGAGCCACAGAGCAGGAGGGAGGGTGGCCCAGGCTTCCCGAGTACCGTCACCCTGTGGCCAGTCCACATAGGGTGGGCCAATGGCCCAGCCCACCGCCCTCCTGATTGTCGGCTTGGCAAACTCCAGGCCCTCGAGATAGAGGTGAGAGGTGGCGTTTACAGCCTGCACCGTTTGACCAGCGTGGGCAACCAGCCGTGACGAACGGAGGCCGGCGGGCTGGGCTCCAGGACGGCGAGGCGGCCCCCGGGGACCCGTGCCGCCCGTGGGGGATGGGGACAGGGTGTCCCCGGCGAGGGTGGCCCTCATTTGCATCTGAGGAAAGGAAGTCACCCAGCAAGGTCGCCACCGGGAAGGGCAAAGGGACAAAAGACTGGTGCCCAGAGTCCTGCCCGGAGTCCTTTTCCGGCCTTCATCCCTCCAGCCTCCTGTCCGTCCAATGAGCCAACAACCACGGCTCGCAGACACCCCTCGTGATCCTGCACAAAGGAAGCAGGAGGCCCCCAGCAAGGGAGCTGATTCTGCCTCGTGCTCAGGGGCGCACTGACCCGAAGGTCCCTGGGGAGGGGCGTCGAGTCTCGTCCGGGAGGGCAGAGCAGTGCCCGCCTGCCTACCCGGTGGGGGCACAAGGCCGGAAAGGGCTGAGAAGTCCCTCCACGCAGAGGCACGAGGTCTTTCCGGCATTTTGTCCTGGGGGAGCTGGAAGGGGGCCTGAGGCGGGGGTGGGTGGAGGAAGGACACTCCCTCCCTCCGACGTCCCCTGGGAAGCCGTGGCCCCTCGACTCCCTCCGGGGCCCCCAGAGTCCTTGTGTTTCCTTCGGTTTACCAGCTAGCACGCCGGGGTGGGGGGGGGGGTGGTGGTGAGAGCCCACAAGAAGGGGCCTGGTTCCTTGCCACCCAGCCCACACTTGTCACCAGCCTCCCAGAATAGCCACCTAAGTGGCCGCCTCTGCTCCCACGAATTTCCGGGGCATCTGGCAAAGAAAGCAAGCTCTGTCCCTGCCCCCGAGGCCCCGCGCAGTGACATGCGGGTCCTGAAGAAAGGGCCCTTCTCTCTGGGGACAGCCACCGGGCCCGGGGTGTCCCTGCCCACGTCACAGATCAGTTCCTGCCAGCGGAGGAGGGGGCTTTGGTCCGTGCTGGCCTCGTCCCTCCCCGGGGCGTCAGTCCGTGGGAATTCCTGTTCATTTGGAAGCCTGGTGCCCAGAAAGCCCGAGCGCCCACCATCCCCGGCAGCGGGAGTCGGCCGGGGGCCCTGACATGGCCCAGTGGGGGGGGGGGGGGGGAGGTCCGCAGCACGTGCAGGCTGGACCAACTGTGTGCGCCTGGGCAGGTCCCGGCCCCGCCCCCACGCCTCGCTGACCCCACGGGGAACAGGGCCTCTCCTGGCTGTGGTTGCCCACAGGAGCCCTGTGTGTGTGCACCCCTGTGTGCGTGTGTGTGTGTGTGTGTGTGTGTGACTTGCTCGTCTGCGGGTGCACACGTGCAGCCGTGGGGGGCGGGGCGGGGGCACTCAGCTTGTGGCTGGCCTCGCTCGGAGATGCAGGGGACACCCACCCCCCTCTCGTCCCATGCTGTGCGGCCCTGAGCGGGAGCTCCAGCGCTCAGGTAGGCGTCAGGGCTGCGTGAGGGTGAACGGCTCTCACCTGTTCCGCGGTCTTGGCTCGGGGTCCCGCCCAGGCTCAGTCGTCCTCCGGGCCAGGCACCGAGTGTCTGAAGGAGCGAGCCCCTCTCAGAGGACAGAGTGCCCCCTGGGGAGGACTGCCGGGGCGCACGGAGAAGGGCTCCTGCAGGGTGCACAGGAGCTCCCGCTGCCGCTGAGGGGAAGGGCTCTCTGGCCAGGCACCAGCCTGGAAGGGCCGAGCAGCCTGGCTCAGTAAGAGGCTCCCACGTGTTCCTCCCTCCGTCCCCCACCCCAGGAGGGGGCGGTTGGCCCTCAGGAGGAAACGGGGACGGTCACGAGGGCTGGCCCCAGGGCCAGCGTTGTCAGGTGACGTGGGGTCACCGGAGGGGTCAGGGCCCGAGTTTCCACCTGATGACCCACAGCCCGGCAGGGTTTTCTCGGAAGCTGAGGGGCCCTCCCAGGTCCGGGTCCTCGATGCGGGCGGGCAGGAGGGAGGGCATCCTGAGGGTGGTGCCCAAAGCCCCTCCCCCAGCCCGGAATGTCCCGCGCCCCAGGTCGAGGGGGAACAGGAGCGCTCCCCAGGAGGGAAGGGAAGGAGGCGTGCCGGTCTCCACGACACAGAGGAGGCCGCACGGGGTCCCGTGGTCTTCGTGCAGGTGGAGCTGAGATGCGGATCCGAGCCCCGGCCCGCCCCTGCACCTCGGGGTCGCCGGCACCCCCTCCTGGCGCCCCGGCCCCAGTGCCGCCTGGCGTGTGTCTCCCCATCAGCCCCCAGGGACAGAGAAGCGGCACCTACAGGGACAGTCGAGCCGTCCCCCACCCCGGGAGGCCCGTCCAGTCCCCGCAGAGGGAGGCAGGGCCCTTCCTCTGGGAACCCGTTTGCTCCTCCGTCCAGGGCTGTGCAGGGAGATCCCCGTCCAGACACCGCCCGGGGCTGAGGCGCGGGCCCCCAGGTGTCCAACGCCCTTGCCCCGGCTGGGCGCAGCAGGTGCACCGGGTCGGCCCCTGGGGGTCTTCCCACCCCTCGACACCTCCTGGGAGAACCCCCACCCAGCCCGCCGGGGCTCACCTCCCGGGCTCGCGCTCGGGGACCGGGACCCACGTGCTGTGGCTGCCGAAAGCTGCCGCTGCAGTGTGACCGTCGGACATGGTGACGGCTTCGTCGACCCCTTCATTCTGTCACCTAATGAATGCGCCCTGAGGGTCCCGTCCCCTCCCTCCAGGTCACAGGCCGTGGGGACATGGCTGGGGGGGTTTGAGCGGTTCTCAGCTGCTGAGACCTCATTGTGGCTGAAGGGGGCGGTAGGGGCCGCGTGTGGTGCCCACAGCCTGGGACCCGCGTCCTGTGTCACCACTACTGTCGCCCCCAGGATGCAGTGCCCCGCGACTGTGGCTCTGGTGGCCAACCTCGTGGGAGCCGTCCTCAGCTTCACCTTTATCCCCGTTAGCACGAAAGGGGCCAGTGCCCACGACCGGGCGGTCCCCGCAGGTAAGCCCCACCTGGGACGCCCCCGCCAGGCCAGCCCCCTCAGGGACGCGGTACCTGGACGCCGGGCGGGTATGAGGCCTGAGCCCTCCGCCTCCCCAGCCAGCACCCCGGGCCTCCCTGCAGGGAGCGTCGGCCAAGGCCAAGACGCACAACAGCGGCTTCCTGTCTGCTGGTGGGGGGGGGGGGGGGGGGGGGGGGGGCATCAGAGAGGCTGAGGCTGGAGGCAGGAGAGATGTAGGGGAGGCCCGGGGAGGACGGGAAGGACCACGGGGCAGGGGCAGGGTTAGCCAGGATCCTGAGTCCCAAATCGCCAGGTGCCATGGTGCCCACGAGCCACTGCCTGGGTCACCTGGGCTGGGGGAGCCAGGGCCAGGCCAGGTCGCCCGACAGCAGAGGCACTGTGTTTCCGGAGCGCCTCCCAGAATTCGGGGGCTCCAGGGTCAGTGGGGGCGGAGGGCTCAGCCCTAGGAGCGTGACGAGCTGCCCGGTGCCCCCAAAAGGGCCAGCGAAGGGGGGTGCCGGGGCCTGTGGGCTCCCGAGCCCACGAGCAGGTGCCACGGCCAGAGGGAGGAGTATCTGCCGAGAGCAGGTGCCGGCATGGGGGCGGGGTGCTTTCCCGGACCCTGCAGCCCAGTCGAGACCGGGTCAGGGAGCCGGAAATGGGCTGAGGCCTGCCCAGCCTCTCCGGGTCCCCCCAGGCGGACCCCAGGCCAATGTGTTTGACCTGAAGGCCATCACCCGCCTGTTGCTGCAATCGGGAGTCCTGCCCGTGTTCCTCATCAAGGTGGCGTCCAGCCTCCCCTTCGGTGAGTCCCAGACCTGGTGCAGCTGAGAGCTCGGGGCCATGGGGAGGGGGCCTGCGGTCAGGGCGTCCCCCTTCTCCGCTCTGTATCCCGGGTGCAAGCTTTCTCCTTGCCATCACACTCGTCCTGGAGAAGGGGCGGGCCCCCTGGTTCCTGCCGAGTGGAGGGGGGAGGAAGGGAGGGAGGGAGGAGGGGAAAGCGGTGCCCCATTCCCTACAGCCCCACAGGGCCCCCCTCACGCACAGTCCAAAGTGCCCTGTGCTTGGCAAGCCCCCCAGGGTCCGTCCGAGAGCAGGGGAGGCAGTACGTCTGAGATGAACCCTCAGGGGTGCCCAGCACCCACCTCCAGCCCCCGTCCGGGATCCTCTCCTTGGGGGCAGCGCAGAGAACAAACTAGCGAGGCTTCGCGCTGGTGCCCCAGGGCTAATCCCTCACCTGCAGGGGCTTCTTGCAAAACTGTGCTGCAAATCTCGGGGTCGGGGTCGGCGGGGTTGAAGGCTGAGTCAGGGGGCCGCCTGGCTGGGCCGGCGCCTGGAGACTCCGGTCCGACTTCAGTCGAAGGGGCCTTCAGGGGCCACCAGTGGGTCCGGGGCCAAATCCTCTCACACGGTCAGCCCCGGGCCCCCCACCTCCCGACCGCCTTCCCTCCTCCCCCCACCTGCCCCACCTACCCTCCCGCCCAGCCACGGGGTAGCTTCCGGCACCTTCCTGCGCACGGGCTACATCGGTCCCTGGGGCCCCGCTCCCCGTGACAGAGAGCCACCAAATCGCAGGGAAGGCCGCCAGGGCCCCACAGTCACCCGCCCTCCCTGAACCCCCCTCCTAGGGCTCTTCATGGTCATGTTCCCCATCGTCTCCATGGACTTCTTCCAGCTGGATGCCGCCCAGGCCGGCTACCTCATGTCCTTCTTCGGGCTTCTCCAGATGGTGAGTGGGTGCCGGGCACGCGGGGCGCGTCTCAGACCCAACGGGCCTTGCAGGGCGCTGCCCTGAGCGCCTGCCATCGCTGTTCTGTACCGTTAGCTTCCGGCTGCCCTCCTGTCCCCGGGGGAGTGTGCCCTCCCCTCCCTGCCCGAGGCAGCCACCAACGGGCCTGCGCCCGGTTTGCACACTCGTCTGCCCCGGAGAGGGGAGGGAGGGGGCTGGTACCCAGAGGGGGCCGGCGAGCCCCTGGCCTCCTGTCTGGAAGCACGCGAGGGTGCACGGTCCTCCGAGTGTGCAGCCGGGCGCCCCCCAGCAGAAGGACAGGGCGGGAGACAGCCGGTGGCAGGGCACGTGACAAGATGCAGGCAAGTTCCTCGGGCCCTTGGAGCCCCGGTCTCCTTGCCCATCAAGCGAGTGACCCTTGTGGGGTAGCTGGGCAGATGAGGTGAGCTAAGCCGGCAAAGCTCTTAGAAGAGGAGGAGGCCCCACCCAAGTGACGGTCACTCGGTCCTCGCGGGGCGCCCTGAGACGGGCAGCCGCCTTCCGGTGGTACGGGGCGGCCCGTCTCCCAGGCCCCGGCTCCTCCGGGGCATCTGCACCAGGGCCCGGGGCGCAGGGACAGGTGGCGACAGCCGGAGTGCGGGAGGGGCTATTCTGGGACCGTCTGAAGGGGAGGGAAGCGTGTGACATTCCCAGCTCCTCCTGGGCATCTGCTCCCCACGCCTCTGGGCCCAGGACCGGTCTCACCCCTCGTGCGAGAATAGTAGCCTCAGGGCTGCTGCCGCCCGGCTGGCGGGCCACAGACTGGCAACAATGATAATTCTCCAGAGCTGGGGGCCGCGGGTTCCAAATGGCCGCTCCAGCCCGCCTGGGCCCTGCCCTGGAGACCCCCAGACCCAGGAGACCAGGCCCGTACCTCTGCGAAAGCCAAGAGACCCCCCCAAGACCCTCAGGGACAGACGCGGGTAGTTCCGGCCTGGCCCGGGGCAAGGTGCCCGATGGCGACCCCGCCCGAGACGGGCCTGGGGCTCCAGCACCCCTAAGGATGGCGGGCGCCCCCCGGGGGCAGCTGAGGCCCCAGCTGCGTCTGGAACCTCTGCGGGCAGAGGGTGGGGTTTTGTGTCTACAGGGAGAGGCCTGAGGCCCCCTCTGCCAGTCACCTCCCAGCCCCCAGCCCCGCGGGGTGGGGCCGGTCACCGAGGGTCTCAAGAGGCAGCCTGGGCGCCCCCACAGCTGGGCTCCCACCTGCTGCCTCCCTCCGCAAACCATTTCTTGCCCCGCCCCGAAGCGTGTGGGCTGCAGCCCGACCCCAAGGGGACCACGGCATCCCCCTCCCCGTGGGGGGCGTCGGGGTTGGGGGCCGGGGGGGGGGGGGCGGGGAGTGGCAGCCCAGACGGTCCTGAGGGATGGCGTCACCACCCCAGCGGACTTGCAGACCCCTGTCTGTCGCAGGCCGTCCTGCGAGAGCCCCCACGTGGCCCTCACGTCCACCCCAGGCACGGTGCCACCACAGTGCTGGGAAGCGTCCATCGTACAGGGCTGGGGGGAGACAGAGATAAGCCCCCGACCACCCTCATCTCATGTGGCAGGGGTGATGACCTGTCAGAGGAGAATAAGGGTCCTCAGGAGGGCAGAGGTGCAATTTTAGATGGGACAGTCGGTTGGGGGGGTGGGGGTTGGGAGGGGCTGCAAGTACAAAGGCCCTGGGGTGGGGAGCACACCAGCTGCTGAGCTGGCTGAGGCAGCAGACTGGGCTCGGAGGACATGTCGGGGGGGGGGGGGGTCCGCAGGGCCAGGAAGGACCTGGATTTACTCAGACTGGGGTGGGGGCTGTGGAGAGGGTCCACGCAGAGGAAGCCGTTGCCTCCCCCGAAGCCGCCTGTGAGCAGTTAGTCGGCCTTCGCTTGATGAAAATGTGTTCATCACGCTGGAAATAAAGGACACGGGATTCGTTTTGGAGATGACTGTCCGGGTGTATGGGTGCCGACGTGCGGTGCCCAGGCCACCCCGCCTCCCGAGGACCTGGCCGCTTCGGGACCCGCCCTTCTCCTCCGACCGGGTGGCTGCTAGGGCTGGGAGGGCGTCCCCAGCTGTGGGGGGCCGCCCCCGGCCAGACCCCTCCCAGCCGGCCTCTCTCTCTGTCTCCCCAGATCATTCAGGGCCTGGTCATCGGGCGGCTCAGCCGTCGCTTCTCGGAGAGGGCGCTGCTCCGGGCCAGCGTGCTGGGCTTCGTCCTGGTGGGACTGGCCATGGTGAGCACTTTCCTCGGGGCCGCACCCCACTGACAGCGGGGTCCCGGGCCCATCACCCCAGCCGTCTGCACATCCCAGGCTGCATGTGAGCCCCAGGGCCCCCTCCCCCCGGGGCCGGCTCTATGGGGCTCCGGGGATGGGCCCTTCCACCCCGGTCCTGTGTGGCCCCCCCAATCCCGTGGCCTCCCTGTCCCATGCCAGGCACTGATGTCCGACGTCCTCCACTTCTGCCTCCTGATGCCTGGCCTGGTCTTCAGCCTGTGTGCCCTCAACGTGGTCACCGACAGCATGCTGACCAAGGCCGTGTCAGCCGCAGACACGGGTGAGCCAGTGAGGGGCAGGGGACCCCCGGGGCCTCCTCTCTGGGCAGTTTCGGATGGAGCAGCTCCCCCGCCTCCCCAATTTCAGGCTGGGTCTGCCCAGACCCAATGAGTACTGAGTGGGGTGGGTGGCCCGGGGTCCAAGTGGGGGTGGGGGGGGGGGGGGGCTGCAAGATGGCTCAGGTGAGAATTCTGGCCGCCACCAGGCTGGGCTGGGCCTGGGGGGTGGAAAGGGGGCTTCTCGGAGCTGCTGTCTGGCTGGGCTCTGAAGCAGGGACAGGATTTCCCTATAAAAGAGGAAGGGGAAGATTGGAACATTCCAGGCCAGGACCCGGCTCGGCGAAGTGTGGAGGGGGTTGGAACTGAAAGGCTCCTGAAGAGGCCAGTTAGGAAGACAGCCCAGTGGGGCCAAGCGTGGTCAGCACAGGGGGCTGCCAGGCCGGGAGGCGGGGTCCCCCCTCCAGCACGGGGTGGGTCGGGGGTGCCCGTGCTCCCTGAGTGAGTGGGGGAAGGCACGCAGCCGGTTAAACCCAGAAAGCCCCCAGCGCCCCCCCCTCCCGTAGGACACGGGTGTCCCCAGACAGGGGATCCCCCAGCCCTCACTCTGTGCCCAGCGTTCTTTCCAGAGGCCTACAAGCCTCTTGTCCAGACTCAGCTCCCTGCCCCTGCCCTGCCCCCGGGCTCCTGTGGCTGGTTGGGGTTGAAGACCATCCCAGCAGGCTAGAGAGCCCACCCGACCGGCCACCCCTCCACCCCTCGCTCCAGCTCTAGCCGCCTATCTGCCAAGGGGGGAGGGGCAGGCTGAGCTCTAGAGGCCGAGAGGGGAACCCGATGGCCGATGGTTGCAAGGTCGCATCTCAGAGCTGCTTCTGGTCCGGGGAGGCCAGGCAGGGCCCGGAGGGCTTCCTGGAGCGCTGGACCGGCCCCCAGGAGAGGCCAGGAGGACGCCGGGGAACGAAGCGTGGAGAGATGGGGGCAGGGCCCGGCAGGGAGGGGGGCGGGGCCGCACCTGAGGCCCCGCCCCTAGGCTCAGAGGGACCGGGGAGCTGGTTCCCAGAGCCAGCCTGGGAACCCGAGACCACAGAGGGGGCGGTAATTGCTCCCGGTGTCTGCAGGGCGTGTGGGCAGGCGATGGGAGAAGCCGCTCTTAAATTTCCCCCACGCCGGGCCCTGGGCCCAGGCGGGGCCGGACCAGGCCGCTCCCAGCTCACCCGGCGGGCTCTCCAGCAACCCGAGCGGAGCGGGGCCCTGAGCCCCTGGAGCTGGGGACCCTCTGGGCACATGTCTTGACAATACACGCACGCACACACAGGACACAGCTGCCCGGAGGGGCCTAGTGACAGGGGAGTCAGGTAGCTGGGGGCAGAGGCGGCCAGGTGAGCCCGGGGAGGACGTGGGTGCAGAGAGGCGGGCGGGCCGCCCCGCGAGGGCCCCCAGGACCCCGCCCCTGTCCTGCGGAGGGCATCCTCCAGTCGGTACGAGGGTGGTGGAGGCTGTGGGGAGCCTGCCTTGCACCCCAGCCCCAGCCCTCACTCTGTGGCTCAGGAGGATCTCCCCCCAAGCCCGCCGTCCCCACGTCAGGGAGGCTCTCTCCAGGCTCAACCGGCCTGAGAGGGCGGGGCCTGGCCCGTGACCTGTGGCTCCACTCCGGGGCTCCTCCTGGGCTTGGGAACTTTCTGGGGCAGGGTGCAGGCACCCGTGTGGCCCCTGAGTGGCTGGGTGGTCCGAAAAGCACAGTCTGGGTGGAGGGAGCTGGGGGAGCAGAGAGCGGACAGGGTTGGGGGCGGTGAACACGGGAGACCTGGGCTGCGTCTGGGAAGCGGGTGGCCAGGGCAGCCTGACTTGCCGCCCACCCCCACCCCTCAGGGACCATGCTGGGCCTCTGTGCCACCGTGCAGCCATTGACTCAGACCCTGGGGCCCACCCTGGGCGGCCTCCTGTACCGCAGCTTTGGGGTCCCCGTCTTCGGCCACGTGCAGTTTGCCATCAACCTCCTTGTCCTCCTCGTGCTCTGGAGACAGCCTGTGCCCCGGAAGAAGGACTGAGTCCGGTGACCAGTGGCCCCAGGGCACAGACTGGCAATAAACTCTTCCAGCCTGAGTCCTGCAAATTCCCATGGGTTAAACAGGGGACCTGGGGGTGAGCCATGGAGGGACGGAGGGTCAGATGCCGGAGAGCTTCCTGGAAGAGGGGGCATGCAGCCGGGCCCCAGGGCTCTGGAGAGAGCCTGATCACCCAAGTTGTCCTTGTGCAGCAGGCCCTCCCCCGCCTGGAGCCCATCCCACGAGGAGTCCGTCCCCAGCTAGGAGGCCCCCCTGTTGCCGCCCAGACAGCGCTGCTCAACCCCCCCCCCCCCCCCCCGAGACCGGAGCTGTCCACCGCCCCCAGTCCTCCACCGGCTTGGCCTCGGGGCCTAGCGCGCTGCCTGCTTGTTTGCCCTTGTCAGTCACCTCACGCGAATGGAAACAGGTTGTTTTCAAAGATGAGGAGTTTGAGGCTTGCAGAGAGGCCCAGGGAAATGGCCCGCCAGCGGACCCAGGCCCGGAGAGCCCCACCCCCTCCCCACCCCTCAACCCAGCTGTAGGGAGAAAGGCACCCGGGCACAGGGGGGCCAGCGTGACCAGTGTGGACACAACAATGCCAGTGGGGTCGGCAGGTGGCCCGGAGACCATGAAGGCCACTCCCCACCTCTCCACGGGCTGCCTGTAAAAGAAGCTAGTTCACAACTCAGGACCCCCACCCCCAGAATTCCATGGTCCAACCAGCAGGGCCTCAGAGAGCAGAGGTCCGTCCACCCTCCGGCCCGAGAGCTCAGACCAGACCAGCTTGCTTGTGAACCTCACTGGGGATGGGGGGGGGGAGGGGTCTCACCTTGACTTTCACCCTTTGTCCCAATGAGGGTCTGGGCAGGTCTCCGGGGAGGGGCAGGACAGGGGTCCGTCGGGGGCCAGTGCAGTCCCCCACTGGCTCAGGGACTTCGTAAGGAGTGCTGTTCCCTTAGGGGGAAAATTCCTTGCAGGAAACGGTTTCCTTGGGCTTCGCAGCAAAGGGACAGCCCCTCCCCAGTCTGAGCCCCGGGACCTGGCGCGGAGGCTCCCCCGGTCCCGCGTGAGGGTGTGAGGGACAGACATCAGGGCCCGATGTTTGGTCGTTCGCTCCCGACGCCGCTGCCTCCCCCACGTGGCATCGCCCTTCCAGCCAGAAGGGTCCCCGAAACGCAGGCCCCCTCAGCGGCCAGAGATCAGGGTCCCCCTCCGCGCTCCGGCTTGGTCGCTGCCGGTGCACCTTTCCGCGCGGGAACGCGCCTCCGGTGTCCTCCCATCGGGCGGTGCTGGACTGACGGTGGCGGCCGGCCTGACTTCCGGAGGACGGGGACCCGGCCGGACAGGGAGGGCTCGCCAGCTGCCAACCATCAGGAGTACGAGGCCCCGGCCTCCCCCCACTTGCCCGGAGGCCCCGCCGCCTCCCCGCTCCAGCACCGTGGGTGCGGGCCAGCAGGGCCTGGTGGTGGCTGCAGGGAGCTGCCCGGGCCCCAGCAGGGCTGGGGTCAAGGGGAGCACAGGGGGTTGCGCGGCCGAAGGGCTGAGGGCTCCCTAACGGGGGGGGGGGGGGCTGGGGGCACAGGTGGCATGTGGGCGGTGGGGGGCAGGTGGGGCCGGCACCCGCTGCGAGCAGGGGCAGCTCAGG